GCACAAACAATGAATCATGGAACACTTCATCTAAAACTAATGATGTAATGTATTGGGATTAACATAAGAATAAAAAAAAAAAAGAAGTTTGAGGGAAGGGGAGAAGGTATGAAACAGTTGATTCAGAGAAGAGAGTGAACAGACGAGGGGAAGGCAGCCAGCCAGCCAATGCTGTTTAAGGTGAGGCCATTAATCCTTGCCAGGAAAAAACCATGAAATGTGGACAGAATCTGTGTGTTCCACAGTGTTAGCCACACCACAATAAGCATAGGCTGCCTTTGGATTTAGTGCAGGGCTGATAGGTGGCTTAAAATATGGACATTTGAATTCTACCCAGAATTTCCCTGCTATGCAAACTCCCAACTAGAGAAAAAAGACTTAATTTGCCAGGATGGGGATCCCATGGGCTAGCTTCTACACTCAGATCTGTGTGACCATCACATATGTGTGACCATCATATGTGACCAGCTGTGTGACCATCAGCACATTACATCACTTCTCTGCATCTCAATTTTCTTATCCATAAAACAAAAAGGCTGAACTAGATGATCACTGAGGTCCCCATTGTTCATCACTGCACAGATATTTACTAAGAGCTTACTATGTTTTGGGCATTTATACCCATTAATTATACTCAGGGCGTTTTCCTGATCAATAAAATGGCACTAGTGCCATCAAAGGAAATAAAAGAATTGCAGGGAAGCCAGCCCAGAGTTAATTAGCTGGGCATCACTAAACATCCTACTGACTTCTTATGTTGTGAAGCAATAAATGGTTACTTGTAGACTGAAGCACTCAGAATAACTGTAGCAACTGACATTTGATATGTTCAAAAGCTTCATGTAATTTCCATTCTTCAAAACCCCTGTCAGCAACCCATTAACTACAACATGCTAAAATACCATCTTCTTATGGGAGTAGAAATATTCAAACATACTTGAGTACCTACTCTGTGCCAGGCTAGTTCCAGCAATACAAAATTGAATAAGGTAAATCTACTGTCAAGTTCACAAACTGGAAGGTAGACATATATGTAGGGATAAATTATAATATAACCTCAATGGAAAGGGGCTACTCTAGAAATATGATCAACACACTTTAGGAACACAGAGTAGAGGACAACCAAATCTGTTCATGGAAGTCCAAGAAGGCTTCCACAAGGAAAAGTTGATATTTGAGTTGGTCTGAGAAAAGGAGTAAAAACTGTGGCAAAGGAGGGAGATGGGTAAGCACATCCTAAATAGAGGCAAGAGTGTTTGCAAAGGCAAGGAGCTGGGGAAGTTCCTGGCTGGGGGGGGACTATCTGGCACAGGCAGAAGATGAGGAAAGGAGTTTGATTTTTAAATAAGGCAGTGACAAAATCAGCTCTTGTTTTTTAAGGAGGGAACTCTGGCAGCTACAACATGTCGTAAACAGCATTCAGAAACCATTTCTGGCATACCACCTGGATAATAAGTCTTAGTCTAATAAAATAAAATAAAAACTATAGTTTTTAGTTCATAATACTCTGTAAGGCAAGCCTCACCTTTTTTCCTTTTCTTCCCGGATATCCATATCCATCTGGACCTAAAAGGCCCTAAGAAAATGACACAAGATGAGTGGTAGAGTTATCCATATCGGTACTTGGTTGATTATATTATCTGAACCCTTGGATTAATCAGCAGTGCAAGGAAGTGGTGAAAGCAGAGGGGCTTGGTAAAGGCTTATCCTATCCCACAGGATAAACACTAAGCTACCTTTATAGGGTAAGGAGAGGATAAAGGTTTAAAATTTTAAAAGACCATGGTATAAGTACTTTTTTTTTCCAGTTTTTAACTCCTCCTTCAGCAAGATTCTATACCTCGGCAAGATGATACCACAGTTGTAGGAAGCCAATCACCACACAAAATCCCCCTTGGGCTTTTCTTGCAGGATAAAGTAAGAATGGCAAAAGCTCTAGAACTTGGTAAATCTCTAGAGATAAAGACAGACTTTAGGGGGAAAATGCCAGCTCAGAGAAAGTACTTGAGAAAGTAGTCATTATTCTGCTGCTGACGGTGCAGTAATGATAATATTGGCAGACAAGTAGTACTGGTGGTGGAGGTGGTAGTGGGGGTGGTGGTAGCAGTGGTGGAGGTGATGGTGGTGGAGGTGATGGTGGTGGTAGAGGTGGTAGTGGAGGTGGTGGTAGCAGTGGTGGAGGTGATGG